ATAGCCTATTTATATATAAGAAGCTATATAACTAAGTAACTTTTTATACTATAACTTATAATAATCTATATAAAGAGCTATTACTTTATATAACTATAAGAAGTAGTAATATCTTTATATTTAATAACTACTACTTTATATCTACCTTCTAAGGTATTATACCTAACACTAGTGTAGCTAAGGTATCTATAGCTAGCTAATAATAGTACTACGCCCTTTAAAAACACCTTAGTAAGGAGATCCTACTAGATACTACATATACTAGTAAGGTAATAATTTACTTTAGTAGTAAAGATTACTATAAGTCCCTTAGTGTAATCTATATACCTGAACTAATTAGTAAGCTTATTTTCTATATAATAATAAGTAATATACTATTTCTTTTTTACTTATAAGATATAGATTATTATAGCGTTGAATTTAATAACCTTACTAACTAACTTATTAATAATAAGATTATTATGCCTATTACTTAAAAATAAGGCTATATATAAATACCTTAGATCTACTAGAGAGTACTATTATAAAGTAACACCTAACTAATAGTAAGTTACGCTAGATTTATTACTAATTTAGCTATCTTTTAGTAAATTACCTCTATAAGCTTCTTAAATAAGTAGGTAAAATAACCTCCCTTACTACACTTAAAGAGATTAATAAATACTACTATTACTACTAACTTAACATAAAAGCGCCTAGTTACTTTAAATTTACTTTATATAATAACTATAAATTTAAATATAAAGCTATTATTAACGTAATAGATCTAGATAGTAATAAGCTAGTACTTTATATAGTTAACTTTACTACTATATTTAATATACTAAAATTCTTATATTTAGTTACTATAAAGTATATATAAAAGACACTATAAATATACTAAATTAATATATATCTTAGCCTACTTAATTAGATTACTATAGATGCTAGCCTAAGTTTTTATATAGCTAAATTTAAACACGCTGCCTATATATTATCTATTAAGGTAAATAAGGTGCCTATTAAGGCCTATTAATCTATTAGTAAAGTTAAGTAATATTACGCTACCTTCTACTATATATATAAGATTCTTTATATAAATATTAATTATAAACCTAAAGTTATCTTTTAACTAGCTATTAAGACTATTAATAATACTACTAGCCCTAATAGCCTAGTACTAACCTTACTTATTTTTAGTATATACCCCTATATTATAGATAATTTACTACCTGCCCCTTCTACTATATAGTGCGCTAAAGTAGTAAAAAAGGCTATAAATATAGTACGCTAAATCTACACTTAGAGATAAGTATATAATATACTAGTAATATATAACAGCCTAGAGACTATAAATACTATAGCGCTCCCTCTTTAATTACTTATTAATATATAGTATAAAAAAGACAGCTAGTAAGGCCTATTTTACCTACTTACTAATAATAGTACTACTTATACTATTAAGTTACCTTATAGCCTATATAACTTTTATATTACTATAGTAAAGCTATACTATATACTATAAGAGGAAGATTAATTACTACTACTACTAGTAATAGCTAAAGTAGATAATAATTCTATATAGATATAAGAAGAAGAGCCTATAATAACCTCTTAATCTATAAAGAAAGTGTAGAATACTATTATTATTAATAATAAAACACCTCTATAGTAAGGCTATAGCTACTTATAAAAGAACCTAGTTAACGCCTTTTTTTATAAGGTATACCTTACTATTAATATCTCTAATATATACCTTACTATAAAGGGAAAAGCAGACTATATACTTACTATTAAACTATATAAAAAAGGTATTATTACTATACCTAGTAAGCCCTTTAAGAAATCTAATAATATAGAGGTAAAGCCCTTAATATATATATATAGTAAGCTATATATTATAGTAAGCTATATATATCTTCTTACCCTTTAATTATTTCTATTAACCCTAACCCTAAAGTAGTTATTTCTTACTTAGATTTTAAGCTAAATATACTAACACCTCCTAGCTTATATCTACCTAGCTTAGGCTTATAAGACCTAAAGACACTAATAACTACACTTAAGGGTATATAAAGTGCTAGTTTACTAAAAAAAAAGATCTAAGGATATTTAAAAAGCTTACTAACCCTAATATATAAGGTAATTAACCTCTAAGCTAAAGGTATTAGTAATTTAGTATATAGGCTTACTCCTATTAAGGCTAAGAACCTTAGACTTTATATAGGGATAGATATACTAAGTAAGTACTAGAGGGCTAAAAAGACCTAACTACGTCTTAAAGGGTTACTTAATATAACTAAAGTAGAGGTACTATAAGGAGAAAAAGAGGGTATTAAAGCTAGAGGTAGGAAAATATCTTAAAAAGAGGGTTATATAGAGGGTAGTAAGCTATATATATAATAATATAGTAATTATAAAAAGACTAAATATAACGTATAAACGTATAAGGTAGTTTAGAATAGTAACAAAGAATAAGGTAATATATATTTTTAATTAATTTTATATAATCTAGTTAAATTAAATTATATAAAAGGTAGAAAAGTAGAGGGAAGTAGCCTGCTTACTATAATAGCCTGCCTACTATATAGGTATATTAAAAGATTTTATACTATATATTAGTCTTTTTTATTTATTCCTTATAAAAAAGAAGCACTCCTACTTTCTTTTCTTTCCTATATTATAATTAGTATAATAAAGTCTACTATAGATATAGTCTATAAGATTTATTTATTTAGTAAGAATTATAAGCTAAAAATAATTTATATAGTTATCTTAAGTATATAAGTTTATATAGTAAATAATCTATTATTAAATACTAATAAGGTGCTAGCCTATATTAGCTTATCTCTTAATATAAGAAATAACTCTTATACTATAGTTTAATTCCTTTAGCTTAGGTATATAGCCTTTAACTTATTATTAATATATAACACCTATTTAAAATCTAGTGTGTATTATATATATAGTCCTACTTATCTTTTAGTTTTTACTTAAAACTTATTAGAAATATTCTAAAGACCTTCCTACTTATACTATTACTTTTTTCTTAATAGTAAATTCTTTTACCTAAGTCTATAGAATATCTATTTACTTAACTAAATTAGAAGTAAAGCTAAAGTAATAGAAATCTATAATAGAAGTATATAGGTATATTTTACTACTAGTATAGATATAGAAGTAATATATAATAGGTATATCTCCAAGAGCTATATATATAGTTAGAAATAAAACTGCCTTTTGTTCTATATTATACTAAATCTATAATTAGATTAGTAAGTTAGTTATTTAAAAAGTAGTAAATTATATAATATCCTATAGTGCCTAAACTACTTCTTAAAATAGTAACTTTTTTAAAATAGTAAATATAACACTAGTCTTTAATATATTTAGTATCTCTAGGATTCTTATAAGATAGTAACCCTATCTAATAATAATAATATTTCTATTAGGATATAATCTTTTATTTAGAAGGCTTATATCTAAAATAAGAATAGGCTTAATATCTTATAGTTCTATTATCTATTAATTCTTCTTAGTTTTTTTATTTACTTCTAATTAAAAAGAAACACTTTACTTAATAAATAATATCTTACTAAATAAAATTTATCTCCTATTATAAACTTAGATATATAAATAACGTAATATTATAACTAATAATATCTTAACTTTATTAAAGATTATATCACTTATCTTCTAGGATATATAGTGTTAAAAATAGTCTAGCTTTTTTAATATCTATTAGGTCTACTATATTTACTAGTAATAAACTTATTATTATACTAATAGTATTAGTAAGAACGTTTCTAAAACGTTTCTAAAACGTTTTATAAATTAAGTAATTAGTAATATTTTATAACTTTCTATTATTATATCTAGAAATATTTAAGAAACCTTTTTAATATATTTATACTAAAATTCCTATTTTAATAATATTATAACTATTAACTAGTAGTGTAGTTACCTTACTTAAGTATAAAAAATTATTCCCTTACTTAAGAATTAGTTAGGAAACGTTTCTAATAGGTATAGCCTAGAAATTTCTTTACGCACTAGTGCCTAATTAGTCTAGAAACGTTTCTAATAGGTATATCCTAGAAAAACTTTTTATATATGTCTACCTATCTATTAGATAAAGCCTTATTATCTATATCTATTGTCAGCTTAACTCTGCACAGGCCCCTATTAGTTATTGTGCACGGTACTCTCGGGTTGTCAGGGGGGGGGGGGCATTATCAGCTTGTCTGATGGCTCATAGAAGGGAAAACAATAAACGTAGTGATAGCAGTGATGATGGATGCTTATTGCTCTAGGAAGATCCCTAGGAAAACCTTGGATGTGCCCCTATTCTAAGGTGAGAAATCTGGGCGTAATCTGGCCTTCTGATTAGCCAGATAGTCCTCTGAAATGGGGCTATTTCTCCCCACCCGGTCCCCGTGACAATCCGCTACGTTTCACAGCTTCAGACGGAAGCTGTCAAAGTGCCATAGAACAAGGTTTCCCTTGGATCCAGCAAGCGCCTTTATGAGACATCAGTGTGGACGAGGGCTTTCTTCCACCCATCGCCGAGGTTGCCGGTAAATTGACGGCCCCCTTTTGGTATTTTGACGGCCCTCTAGCCACTACCGCCACAGCATACCCAAATAACCCATTCCATCACCCTAACATAACCAACTAACACAGACCCTAACCCAGACCCTAACGACTGACCCTACGCATCTTTTATATGCTTTCAAAGATGCGTAGGGTTAGTGGCTAGGATGGTTAGGGTCTGGGTTAGTTGGTTATGTTCGTGTGATGGAATACAACATAGTATTTCCGCTGACACTAACTGGAATAGGCAGTAGGCTTACTGAGATAGGCTTAGAGGGCCGTCAAGATACCAAAACAGGACTGTCACTTTACCGGCTACCATCGCCGAAATATGAAGAATCCGTGGATGGAATGGACAGGGGTGATCATAACCAACCATCCCTGAGTTTGAATACTTGCAGAGTCGGATGGGACGAGTCGGGTCTTGCAATGCGAAAATACAAAGTCAAATTACCTAGCTTAAGTGAGGGTTGCTGCCTACACCCAATAAGAACTCAATCAAGGACTTAGTGGTGGCGGTAGGTCCATCAGGCTCGAATGCCTACGCGTGGCTTGTAACGGGTCCGGCGGTGGTCTTTTGTTTTCTAAAGAAATCTTTCTAGCCAACCTTCCTGCATTGTTTTCAACATCTCTAGTATTGCTTGGAGCCGTAGCTACAATGGTTCAAAAGGAAAGTCACATTGGCCCGGTCGGTCCTTTTATCCCCTTCCAAAAATACCTAATCCCGAGTCAGGAGTCAGTCAGGAACGAATCCCAATCACGCACTGAGGGGAAAGCAACGTACAGGTCCATGTATGCGCCGACTGTCAATGTTGACATCTCAATACTGACTTCATCCACTAATGAAGCAAACCGCTCCCTCTCCCAGCCAAGCAGCTGACCAAACACTAGGGGCGTCATGCTTTCCACGAAGCGCCGGAGAAATAGGTTCAGCCATCGACCGAGCTCGTACGTTTCTGTATCATCCGGCGGCCAACAGGTTGGCAGACGAATCTTCTCTGTAGTCACTTGAATGAAACCGGCCGCACGTAATTGGTTTGCGGTATCACCGACCAGTAGTTGTGGCGCCCCGAGCTCCTCCAAAGCCAGCTGGAAGCGGTAACACCAATAGGCCAGCTTGGAATCATCAGGTGGCGAACGACCAGTGAACCCGGGAGCTATTTCAAGATGAATCACTTCGACTTGGCCACGTGGCCTGAGAAGAGAGTACGCTTCCGCGTACAGCCGGTTTGTGTCAAACTGGAGGCCGGGGCGATCCGAGATACGGACAACATCGAAATGATTCGGACTGAAACCACGGAGCACATCGGCTTGGGCTTGACAAAATACAATGTTCGATGGGTAGCTGTATTGTCAGCCAGAACCAGTCAGGTGCTGCATGTCAAGAGACTATCAATCTCGACAGCATTCGCTGCGGATGGACGTCGGACGTACCTCTCGGGGTGTGCCTGGCATGGATCGACACTCACAATAGTTGCTTCATCTCCTTTTCGACTGGCCTTTGTCAGCATAAGTGCACCGGCCAAACAGGGCAGCGATGTTTACTCGGCGGCGTCGATAGCCAGAATACCAGTCGCAGTCCCAAACTCTAGGATTCGGCGGATACGGGGGTTGTTGAACAAGAACAAGTCAGCGCCAAGGGCCTGTGTGAAAAGCATGTGTCGTATGTCATAAACATCCTTTTTGGAAACACGTTCTCGGAATAAGTGTTAGATGTCCACGGATTGGGCAGCAGACAAGAGGAAGACTTACCAAGACCGCTTCCAGGCTGGTGAAACAACGATCCCGACAAAACTGCGATCCACGACAGCTGGCGGAAACTTGGTCCAAGTGGCTTCACAGCATCGCAGTCGGGTGTCAGCGGGAGAGAGGTTATTGACGGTTGGGAAAAGGCAAACACACATGTCCATGGGTTCGATGGCGCGCACGGCTGTCGTCTGAAGGATCTCGGACTCTCGGGGCCAAGGATATCTGTTGACTCAGGCGAGAATTGAGGGATGGCGTGTTGTGCAATTAATTACATAATGGGTGAGAAAGCAGGACACGTCAAGAGACTGACAGCTTTTGGGTCAAAGTGATATGTATAACCAGGAAATTGATAAGGGGCAAGGAGGGCATGAGATGTTGTCGGGATGATGCGCTCTTGGCGTGTTGGTGGACCGGACTGAAGTTCCTTGACGGGAAGCAAACAATCAATAAGCACCATGCAGGGGGTAATGCACGAACCAGGCCTGGCTCGAGACCAACAATCACAAGCTCAGTATGAGTGTCTTTTTGTTGTTTTTACGTCTGCTAAGGTGATGCATGCTTTCCTGAGCCTGTTACTGACATATTTGAGATAAGGACAGAAAAGAGGCTCAAGGTAAGATAAGAAATGCTAGTAATAATGCACATTGATTGCCGAGCTTTGCGGGGCGAGCCGAACCTAGCGCTGTAGAGATTGATTAAGAAGTTGCTAACGTAAGTCGTATCTCACGCGGCGGCTCATGAGACCGAACTCGGAAGCTGAGAATGGGCCACGTTTGATGCCGTCGTGTATCCCGGGGAACGTCCCGGTGTTGAATGATGCAACAACAACATCACGTACTCTGGCGGCTGCATGGCTTGGCCTTCCGGGCACGGGGGTCCGTCCACATGAGTGCGCACTGATCTCGTTGGGGAAACGCTCTTGAGATGGTGAGCAAAATGATGAGTTGATAATGCTGGCATTAAGCCAACGTAACTCTGCTTGGCTAGACCAGGCCGCGCTCATTGAGTGCGACGCCCTCGAAATTATCAACCTTGAACTTGTTTAGGTCACGGCGCTTCCAGACCTAGGCGAGGTACCAAACCTTGCCATGGATTGACTGGAGGCCAGCCTGCACATTCATCGCCGTTAGTATGTACATTGTTCCCTCCCGCCTCAGCCAGATGTACCTCGCCGCAGGTGACTCGACCATATCTCGTTGGAGTTGGCTGAAATGATGGAACTGTTTGTTCTCGGGCGCCTCGGCCGGACCAACCAAAACGCCTGTCATGCCATACCTCTCCACCCTTGGCCAGACCAGCCGGGTTGGTTGCATTCTTGGCACCGTTGGAACGACCTTCCGGGCGGCGTTTGCTAGTTCAGGCGGCAGCAGAATATCGATGGAGTGATGGTGGCAGCCTGTGATGTACATGGTATTAGGTCTTTGACCGGATAGGAGGAATACCTAGCAGGAATGCAAGACAACCTTGCGTTAGTAATTCAGTAGCTTTCATGTACCTTGACACCATCACCCTTGTTTTAATGACGACGTATCGTAGATGGGAGAAAGTGGCGGAGATCAGATCCTGCTCTGTCTCGGCAGATGATGTACCGGAGTTTGTCGAAGATTATCACCGTAGTAACACGTTGCCGCAAGCGCAGTGGCCAGAGCGCAGTCAAACACTGAATTTGTAGATTGAATGTCGCTCTCACGCTAGGCTGCCCCAGACAAATCCCTCGTGACAAAGTCACCATGTACATCTTGCATCCCGGCGCTGCTGGGGTTTGGTTTTGAGACCTGCAGGCCGTCCGGATATGGAGCGTTACGGGTATGGTCGAGGTAAGGATAGAATTAGCACAAACTGTGTTGGCCCTGGCTCGACTCATTGTTCTCAGAGCCATCGACACCACCTCCAGCCTTGGCGATAGGATCCTTATTGTCAATGTCGCATCTTCTGGCACACAAGATGAACATACGCAGAAACAGACCTTCTCTCGCAGGCGATCTTCTGATTCATCTCACCTTATATAATAGACCTGCCTAAGAATTTGCGTCCGTTCTATGCTGAACTGACATCAGGTCCCATTTATGAGATGCACTACGAACCGGAGATGATGGTTCTGACAGACACTTCGGATTGTTAGACGTTTACTGCTCGGCTTTTTTTCTTTTTATTTTTTTCTCTTGGTTGAGCGGCAGAGCGCAAATTGACGGGAGTCCATTTAAAATACTGGCAAAAGCAAAAAGTAGACATACAACACCAGGTATTCGCTGGTCGTCACCGACCCGACTACTAATCCGGCCCTCACACTCTTTCTTTTTAGGTCAGGAACGACCACTAAGTGCTGCTTTTAGTAACTAAAAACGGTAGCCTCTAAACGGTCTTATTTTTAGAAGGAAAAACATAATACTAAATATCTTTATTTAAGATAAATAAGGTACTATTTTCTTATTTATAAAGGCTTTATTAGACTTAACTTTTTATTTATATAAAGCTACTTAGTGTTATAAGAAGTAGGTATAGTATTAGCTTATACTTCTTTTTTATAATAAAGTTATATTCTTATATAATATAGCTATTTAATTTATTACTTTTTTTATTTAGCTTATAACTATTATTTTATTACTTTATTACTATTATTATATAATAAGTTTAGCCTTTATTTATTTAAGTATATAATCTTTTATAAAATATAGCTAAGGTTAGTCTAAAGCGCTATATATAACTTATTAGTAATAAGTAGTATAAACTAGTAAACCTATTATTAAGATAAAAATAACTATACTAAATAGCTTTATAAAAATAAGGCCTTTAAGGTAGTAAGTATACTATAGTATAAGGTAAAATAAGGTATTAGGTATACTTTAGTAATAGCTAGTTATAAAGTAGTAATATATTATAGCTATAAAAGTAATTAAGTACTATAAAACTATAGTAATAAGGAGGATAAGGTATTAGTACACTATATTTATAGGCGCTATAGCGCTATAAATAATAAGTAGTCTTATAAATTATAGCTATCTAAGTTTTACTAAGTTTAGTATACTTTTAGGCTATAAGTAGTAAGAATTATAGCTACTAAATAAGCTTAGTAGATCTAGTAATAGCTAGTAAAGCTAAATTAAGGTAAGTAGGCCTAAGCTAGTAGTAAGCTAAGCTAAGTAATTAGTAAGTAGTCCTAAGCACGCCTAAGTACGCCTAAGTAAGCCTAAGCTAATAGTAAGCTATTAGTAAGTATATAAGACTAGGCCTAAGTTTAGGTAAGCTCTAGTAGCGTATAAAGAAGACTTTACTAAGATATAAAAAGGCTAACTAAGAAGTTAGCTAACGTATTAGCTAAACCTACCTAAGGATTAAAAGAGGCTAAGATAGCTAAAGGCTTTATACACTTTACTAACGTTATAGCTGTCTATATACTATAGTAGTAACCTTAATATATATATTACTAAAAAATAGTTAAGTAGATAAGCTCCTTAAGGCTTTACTTAGGCCTTAGGAATTTAACCTTTATAGTTTTATAGGTCTAAGAGTGTAAGAATATATTAGACCTCCTTTTAAGAGTTAAATAGCTAGAATATTATAATACTGTTCCTCTACCCTTAGCAGCTTAAGGGATCTATAATTATAACTATAATATAGGTAATATTAAATAGTCTATAGATAAAAGGGTAGGAATAAGCAAAAGGAATAAAGTAGTAATTAGTATTAAACACTTAAGTATACTTATAATGTTATAATATAGGGAAGAGCCCTTATAAGTTACCTAGCTAGTACCTTAGTTCTAGTAATCTTATACTACACAGCAGGTAAAACGTAAACTCTAGTATAGAACACAAGGCGTATAAATAAGGATAAGGCTAATATTCTATTTTAGTTCTAGGCTGTATATACAAGATTAGCGTAAAGAGGCATAATAGCTAAGAACTAGGATTTTAACAAATGCTTATATAGGTTTTAAACGACCTAGTATTTAGCTAGAGCTTTAGAGGGCGACATCTAACTAAATCTGACGCCTATTATCTATAAATTACTAGTTTAGGTCACTTAGCTGTATAACTCCCTACCCCTCTTTTTAAACTACCTCTGTATTTAAACTACTATTATTACTACTACTACTACTACTATTACTACGTATTTTATCCCTATTACTGCCTACTTATATATAACTTATAACCTTACTAGGTATATCTAATACGCTAGATTTATCTAGGCTATCTATATTACTAATATCTAGACTTTATGCCTACTAGATATCCTATATAGTTATAAATTAACTATTAGGTAATAAAAGAACCTTCTTCCTCTTATTATTATAATAGGTATCTAACTAGGCTTCTAATACCCTTATTTACTACTCTTAAAGGGTTAGTCTAGATACTTACTTATTATACCTTTTTTATACCTTTCTAGTTAACTACTATATAGTAAAGGTATTTAGCTTTTCTTTATCTAGCTAGTTATAAAACTAGAACTAACGCTATAAGTTAGTAGACTAATAAGAGGTTAACTATAAGATAATAAATACCTCTTTATCTTACTATTAACTACTTATTTAACTATTTATTATAGCTACTTTCTAGACAGTAGGGTTTCTACTAATAGTAAGTAGAGGTTAGTACCTAGTTAATAGTATTCCTCTTCTTTATTATCTTTATTAATTACCTAGTAATTAGTTAAGGCTTAGGGTTATAAGGCAGCTTATATAGCTTCTTATTAATTAAATTAGTAAGGTTAAATACTAAAAGGTATTTAGAGAATATATTATAAGTTAATTACTAAAGAGCTATAGGAGTCTGTCCTTAAGTGCTTCTAAGTCTATTCTATATATAAGTCCTAACTATTCCTTAAACAGTTCTTTTAACTAATAGTTATAAGGTAAAATAAGCGCTTACTTAGGTATCTACTAAGCGCTTATCCTACTTATAAATAAGTGCTTATTTTTTATTTTATTTTATACTTATAGTTATATAACTTATACTATAGTTCTTTTATTTTAAGGAGTTATCTATTTATTCTTTATTTTTTATTTATATAAATACTACTACTACTTATTATCTTTTATTAAGTAAAGTAATATAGCTTATAACTTATTAAGTTATAATATTAGGTCTTCTCTCTAAAAGGTCTTACCTTTAAGACCTATATAAGTAGGTTATATCTCTTAGGTTAAGGAGTTATTAATTATACTTTTTTATTTCTTATAATACTAACACTATACTAGGTTATATAGAGAAAATAAAATTATAAGGTACTTCTTTCTATTATTACTTACTTTATATTATTTAATTTTCTAATAAGGTTATTAAAATAATACTATATTTAAATTATGAGTCCTATAGTATATAGTGTTTAATTTTTCTTAACTTTAATATCTATAACACTTATTATTATTTAGGAATATCTTATAATATATCTATAGATACTATTTATACTTATAAGTAGTTATTTTTTTAATTCTTTAGTTCTTTTTACTAATAGTTCTTTAGTAAATTATTTAGTAGTAAAGTCTAATTATCTTAATTATAAAGAGGAGGCTAAAAAGTTATATTTTAAAAAGAGAGCTATATTATTATATAATAAAGCTAAGGCTTTTTAAAAGGCTTAGGCTAAGTTAAATAAGTTACTTACCTAGCTTAAGCAGCTTTATTCTTAGAAGAGAATAGTATTTAAGAAGAGTTAAAAAGTATTAGAGGAGTTTCTTAAGGAGTCTAAGGTTTCTTTTAAACTATTAGGGGCTATATAAAAAGTATAGTCTAGTAGTGCCTTTAGTATTATTAACTAAAGTGCTATATAAAGTAATCTAGACTTAGTAAGTTTTAACTTTAGTATACTTATAAAAGCTACTAAAAATATTAAAGGTTTTTAATTAGTTTTTATAAATTATTTTTATATTTATAATTTTTTTATTTAACTAAGTATTATTTATTTTTATTTTTATAGCGTTAGTTAATAATTTTTTAAACTTTATATTTTAGTTAATATAGTTTAATAATAATATAGTTATTAGTATTTAATTCTTATAGTATTAGTTTTAGTAGTATAATATAAAGGATTAAGTAAATTCTTATTATATTAAGTAAGTTAAGTTTATAGTTAATACTAAAGATCTTCTTAAAAATCTTAAATAGTCTAAGTTTTTTATAGTTAAGTTTATTACTTAGTTACTTTATTTTAATATTTCTATATAAAAGGTATATACTATCCCCCTCTTTAAAGGTTAGTACCTTAATCCTTAAAGTGTTAGTATATTTCTTTATTTATATCTTAATAAATTCTAAGTCTAAAGCTACCTTACTCTAAAGCTTTTTTATTTTATTAATATTAGCTATAGCTTTTAATACTTATAGGCCTTCTTAAGGTTCTTTATAAGTAGTTAGCTAAAACCTATAGTTTAAGTAAAATAGTAAGTTCTAAGTGCTTTTTTTAATAG